AATACGATCGACGAGCATAATCAATTCACACTCGCCGGCCGTATAAAGAAGTCGTTGGCAGTCTGCCGGCACTCTCCCCTGAAATTTGCCATAAAATAGCGAATTGACGCTAAACCATGGCAAACGAACGGGGAAAAGTGTTCCAACATTCTTTGACCAACGCACTCGCCGGCTGAACTGAAAAGTTGTTGGTCGCATCGCTGGCACTCTCCCTGAAATTTGTCATGCAATAGCGAATTGATGCTAAATCATGACAAACGTAGGGGGGTTTCGAGTGTTCGAATGTTACATCAAACGACCAACGGACTTCCTATAACCACGGTTGGAAATCCATCACAGGATTATAGTAAGTTTGTAAATATATTTTTATTAAACCAAAATAATATTAACAATAATCGTAATCTTAATAAAACTTCACTGTCGAGAACAGTTTGTAATCCCTGGATTACAAAAGGAATCATTACTTCTATTAAAACACGAAATAAATTAATTAGGAAAAAAGAAAATTTAGGACAAATCTACAAATCAAAAATTAGACATTATATTAAAATTCTACGTGAAAATTATTATATAGAACAAATCAATATTATTAACAAAAAAAATCCCAAAATACAATGGGAATTACTATCCAAATATTTAAAAATTAATAAAAAGAAAACTGTTCTCGACATTGATTGTAACATACTAAATAATTATTATGTAAATGTAGGTTTTAATCTAGCATCTAACATACCAATTATAGAATCGAAATCGAAAATGATAACTAAGGGTAATAATTATATTAAATCTATTTTTCTCGAACCAATCACCCCAAATGAAATAATACTCAAAATTTTTTCTCTTAAAAATAATATCGCTTCAGGTTCAGATAAAATTAGTGTTGAGTTATTAAAATCAATACATTCCTCAATCGCAGGACCTTTATCGGATATTTTCAATTCATTTATTGAAAAAAATTACATCCCTAATGAGTTCAAACACGCTGACATTATTTCTATATACAAAAATACTCGGAGCAAATTAGATCCCAACAATTATCGACCAATTTCTCTTATTTCTAATGTTGCAAAAATTTTTGAAAAATGTCTCTATACAAGAGTTATTAATTTTCTTGACAAAAATAATTTACTATCCAATTGCCAATTTGGTTTCCGAGAAAAAAAAAGTACAACTGATGCTATCTCAAAACTTTTTTCACACATTAAAACTGATAAAAAAAATAAACTCGTTGTTTTCTTAGACCTAAAAAAAGCTTTCGATACTGTTGATCATAAATTATTACTGTTAAAAATGGAAAGCATTGGTATAAGAGGTGTTGCATATAATATATTTAAAAATTATTTAGAAAATCGAACATGTTGCACAAAAACCGGTAAAATTAAATCTGAAAAAAAAATAATTACTTGTGGAGTTCCGCAAGGAACATGTCTCGGACCTTTACTTTTTATTATTTACATTAACAGTATAACAAATCTTAAATTAAATGGAAATTTAGTTCTTTTTGCAGACGATACTGCTTTGGTAATAGACGCGGACAACCCGATAGATCTATATCAAAAAGCTAATATCGATCTTTCTAAAATTAGGAGTTGGCTAATGGAAAATAAATTATCTCTAAATATCTCGAAAACTCAGTATATAGACTTTTCCGAAAAAATAGATAAAAACAACCATTTAATAATTCATAATTACTCTTGTAATATTTCAAATATCTGTAATTGTCGAAATCTCGAATTTGTTGAGGAATATAAATATTTAGGTTGTATAATTGATCGTAATTTGAATTGGAGACCTCAAATTGAAAAAATTATATTTAAAATTAATAAATCCTTACCTTCCTTTAATGTTGCCAAAGAAACTAGTTTTAAAAAATCTGTGTATGCTGCCTTAGTCCAATCTCATTTGCAATACTCAATAACTATATGGGGAGATTCTTATAATTTAACCCAACTACAAGCTTTACAAAATTCTATTACTACCAAATTTAATATAAAAAATGTTGCGTCCATGCAAGAACTTTTGGATCACAGATTAAAAAAAGAATTTTATGAACTTGATTATTTAATTTTGCAATATTTTGAAATATTTACATGTTACTAGAATATTTTTCGTGTGTCGCTTAATATATTGTTATTGTGTTTAATTATTATATTATTGATATTTGCATACACACATACACTCATAAAATATCTATCATTATCGTTTCGGAAATATCTCCAACAGTGGCTAACGGTGTCGATTCAGAATAATATTTTAGCAACAACATTATCGCGTTATTCACTTCCGTTAATGTAATAAAATGTATTTAACATTGAACTTTTTATCGTTGTGTGTGTTTGTGTGTGTATCATCTTTAAATTATTTTGTTAGTTTAAAATAAATTTATGTTTTTTATTTAAAATAATTTTTAACGACTAACATCTAACGAACGAACGACTAACGTCTAACGCCTAACATCTAACGTGGAACGTCTAACGTGTTACGTTCACGTTATTACGTTTCACGTTATTGCGTTCACGTTATAACGTTGTTACGTTATATATTGATATTGTACGTTCATGTTTTACTATTAATATTTTTCTTACTGTAACTCCTCATATTTAAATAATTTTTAATAACAATAACAACGACTAACATCTAACGAACGAACGACTAACGTCTAAACGTCCAACGTGTTACGTTCACGTTATTGCGTTCACGTTATTGCGTTCACGTTATTGCGTTCACGTTATTACGTTGTTACGTTATACGTTGATATTGTACGTTCATGTTTTACTATTAATATTTTTCTTACTGTAACTCCTCATATTAAAATAATTTTTAATAACAATAACATCGACTAACATCTAACGAACGAACGACTAACGTCTAAACGTCCAACGTGTTACGTTCACGTTATTGCGTTCACGTTATTGCGTTCACGTTATTGCGTTCACGTTATTGCGTTCACGTTATTGCGTTCACGTTATTGCGTTCACGTTATTGCGTTCACGTTATTACGTTGTTACGTTATACGTTGATATTGTACGTTCATGTTTTACTATTAATATTTTTCTTACTGTAACTCCTCATATTTAAATAATTTTTAATAACAATAACAACGACTAACATCTAACGAACGAACGACTAACGTCTAAACGTCCAACGTGTTACGTTCACGTTATTGCGTTCACGTTATTGCGTTCACGTTATTGCGTTTCACATTGTTACGTTTTTTGTTAAATTTTGGAATTGGAAATTATACTTGAGACGTTTTCGTTCGGATCTTATTACAACATAAAAATTTAAATTATTTGTTGGTCGTTTGATGTAACACTCGAAACCCCCCTACGTTTGTCATGATTTAGCATCAATTCGCTATTGCATGACAAATTTCAGGGAGAGTGCCAGCGATGCGACCAACAACTTTTCAGTTCAGCCGGCGAGTGCGTTGGTCAAAGAATGTTGGAACACTTTTCCCCGTTCGTTTGCCATGGTTTAGCGTCAATTCGCTATTTTATGGCAAATTTCAGGGGAGAGTGCCGGCAGACTACCAACGACTTCTTTATACGGCCGGCGAGTGTGAATTGATTATGCTCGTCGATCGTATTTATTAAATAATGAATTTGTTCTAGAATATCCGATAGACGTCATACGTTATCTACGGATTTCCTCATATAAGTAAAAATACCACATAGATAATTATAATAAAATGTTTGTTTGTTTGACCTACACATTATTTCTACATATTTAAAATATTATAAATTTAATATTATATTATAATATAATATAATATTTTAAGTATTATTACTATAATGTATATATTCGTAATATTACATATTATAATCTACGCAAAGTTATATAAATATATTTGTTAAAAACATATATATTTGTATTAGTATATTGGGTTGTAACAGTACACCGTCATACATATAAAACGGTCCACCAATCAGGGCCCAGAACGGTAGCACAGCCCGGCGGAATGACTTTGCGCCCTCAGTACGAGGGTCCGGGGTTGTTCCACACTCTGGAATACAAGGGATCCAAAGGTGAGAACAAGACCCATCGAACAAAACCATCCCCATACCTAGAGCCCCAAAACTGTGCGGACGACACCACTTCCCGCACAGAACCTAAACACAACGACAGCGGCGGCAACACGGGAGTTTACTAGTCGGTACGGGGCCGGGTATATATACCGGACTCTTTCACCGCACCGACATCAGTCTTCTCTCAACACACCAACCTTCAACATCTCAACACCAGAAGAAGTGAAGACCCGAAGACCTGACGATCCACGAAGCCGCCATAAGTCGCCGACAACCAGCGGGATATCGTGAACGACGAACGCCGGCCACAAGTCGACCCAAGCCCGAATCATTCAAAACCGCAGCCTATCGTCGACCGCCACACGCAACCGGCAGGAGAGCCGCGTCGAGGTAGACGGCATTTCAATACGCCCACGGCGCCGTACTCGGAGAACCAGCCGCACACACGCCTTCCCGACCGGCAAGTACCCGCCGCACGGAGTACCAGGAGCCAAGCAGTTGCCGCGCTGCGCCGGTATCCACCGTCGCCGTCGACTCCAACAGTCGGAGACTAAAACACCACCCATACGTCCCCTCCTACGGCCACTTGATCAAGTTGTGTCGAAACCCGGGTCTAGTATATCACAGTAGCCGCTTCTTACGAGTCACGCGCCGTGGTATACTGACCCCGTCCATACGGCGACTGTTATCGTCCGTTTCCCCCGCAAACATTCCCTTCATATTTGTAATTAGGGCCTAGCAATTGCTGGCCGTGCCGAGGTCTCACCGCGACGGTCCGTCTCCATAGACCAACCGTCACACCCGTGATCCTCGCTGCCCCCACATTGTACAAAATATATTTGTGTAAAAATACAGGATAAGATGTAATAACGAAAAACCCAAGCGTTATTATTTCGGACGCCGGTCCATTGTGACCGTGCCGTTTCAACTGGCGCCCAACTAGTGGCTTGAACCACGAACGCAACATTTACAATGCCGAGAACAAGCAAAAGGAATACTCAGGCGAGTCCAATACGGGAAACCACCAACAACAAGGTCGGTCAATTAGAAAACACGGTTCTTCGATTAGAAGAAATAATCGAGCAAATGCAAACAGTAATAGAACAACAGAATAATAAATACGAAGAAGCAATTAATGGTTTGAAAACAACTTTGGAAGCCACAAATAAAGAAGTTATGTCTTTAAGACAATTGATAAACGATACAGACACTAAAATTGCTATCGAGACAGCTAGGCGAGAAAGGGAGATTCAAAACATAAGAAACGCAAAACCAGAAGAGCCAACAGTAAGACCTAGTACTATTGAAATGACAATGCCAACGTTCAGCGGGGAACAAAAAGATGAACACCCGAAAAGCTTTCTCAAAGACCTAAACTCATATTTCACACATAAAAATATCACACCAACAGATAAGATCATAGTAATAGAAAATTGTCTAAAAGGTAAAGCGGCCAAGTGGTTTGGGATGATTAAAGATACTACACCCACGGCAGAAGCATTTAAAACGCTGTTCCTAAAGCACTTCTTTTCCGACGACAAGCAGTGGGATATATTTATACGGTGTACCGAGGCAGGAAAACGCCCAATAAAAAATGGATTCCAAGAACACTTCCATCACTGGATGGCCGAGTTAAGATATTTGGACTCACCGAAAATGGATGAGGAACAGGCTATTAGTCTAATAATTAAGCACTTCCCTATAGCCGTACAGGCATATATACAGTCGACACAGGAAAAGAAATTTTTAAACATATGGGAGAAGTTAGGAGAGTTGGAAAACAACAACAAGGAAAGGGTAGATGGCGATGAACAAGTTAATAATACGCATAGTGAACAAATAGTGACAAAACATGACCAACCAAAAAAATTTAATAGTCGGTACGGTCAAACGCATACCCCGAAACAACCACATACTTTTGACAACCGATACGGTCAAACCACGCAACGACCACAAGAGTTCTCTAGTCGGTACGGCCAGAAACCAACTACACAGCAAGTAAACCAATCATCTCCCAATATACGCAATAAGTTTAACTATCCACAACAAAGGCCACAGGATACTGGGTCAGGGCATTATCACGACACACAGAAAACAATTAGTCAAGTTACGGTAGACAACACGATTATAGAGGACGAACATGACAGTGAGGATGAGGACGAATACGACGAGGAGTCAAAAAACGGAAAGACGGGGATTATGGCCAGCGACCTGCTATAATCACACAAACCCGAGGTCTAAAAAATATAACAATTTTAACAGCAGCTGAGCTCACTAATGAAGAAAACTATGACACAAACAGGATAAAGGATACGACCAAGGGATGCCCATATATATATGTATCAATAAATGGGACAAACTACGAAATGTTGATCGACTCAGGAGCAGAAGTAAGCGCGATATCAGAAGAGTGCAAAGAGCGTATATTAAACGACGACCCGGAGTTACCAACAATACCACTGAAAGGACTGGCAGTACATAATGCGGTGGGAGATAAATCGACAAAAGTTGATACGCAGGTGCTGTTACCAATCAAAATACAAAATAACATAATCCACACTTCAGTAATTGTTATCAAAGGCCTAAATGAGTGTGGAATATTGGGTAGTGATTTTTTGGAAATCTACGGCGCGAACATAAACTTTGTCCAACGGAACATGTCTTTAACAATAAACAACACACAGCATTATATACCTTTGATTGAAAAGAAACTATCCCAGCCAATAGAATTTAAAGTAGTCACAACAAAAATAATACGACAAATTACAATGACTACAACGCAGGAGGGCGTAGAGAGGTCATCTAGTAAACTTACGAGTAAAATAGACAAATTAGTTAACGAGTTCCCGGAAGTATTCCGAGACATACCAGGAAAAATAAAGGGTTATGAATGTAATATACGCCTGAAAAGTAACATACCAGTAAACCAACACCCATACCCAATACCGGCAGCAAAAAAGGAGGCAGTAGAAAAAGAAATAAGACGAATGATAGAATTGGATATCATTGAACCATCAAGATCACCATATTCATTACCGATAGTACCGGTATTTAAAAAAAATGGTGAGGTACGGTTGTGTTTAGACGCCAGGAAAATTAACGAGATCATTATTCCTGACAGGGAACGACCAATGACCATTGATGCAATATTCTCAAAATTCGAAAATATAAAATGTATTAGTACCCTAGATTTGCGATCTGGTTATTGGCAAGTGCCAATTGCCAAACAGAACAGGGATCCGTGTTCATTTTTGGTAAATGGTAGAAATTACTCATATAAGAGGCTACCGTTTGGATTAAATATAAGTGGATCCGAGTTCCAGAAGAGTATGGACATGGTATTGGGTCCTTTATTAAATACATGTGTTACAGTATACATAGACGACATCTTAATAACATCAGAAAACGAGGATGCACATTATGAAGACATCAGAAGTGTACTACAAAGATTACAAGAATACAACGTCACGGTGAATAAGGAAAAATGCCAATTTTTCAGGGAAGAAGTAATTTTCCTGGGTCACATGATCTCCACCAAAGGAATTAAGATGGACCCAGAAAAGATTAGGACAATACAAACGTTCAAGGCACCAACGAAGAGGAAAGAAGTTCAGAGCTATTTAGGATTCATAAATTTTTATAGGAGATATATAAAGAACTTTGCGGACTTAATTAAACCATTGATCGACTTGACTAAAGAGGGAAAAAAATGGACGTGGGACAAAACGCAACAGGAGGCATTTGATAAATCAAAAAAGGCATTTTTGAAAGAGGTCATTGTGGCATTCCCAGATTTTACCAAACCAATGTATTTAAATACAGATGCATCAAATGTGGCAATTGGCGGCGAATTATACCAGGTATTGGAACACAATGAAAGGGCGACATTAGGCTACGCGAGCCGGACACTAAAGCCACCTGAAACTAGATACACGACAACAGAAATAGAGGCATTGGCACTGGTATACTGTTGTGACAAGTTCAGGCAATACATCATGGGAAACAAGACGATAGTGCAAACAGATCATCAGGCACTTATTTTCTTGAAACAATGCAGGTTGACAAGTGGGAGATTGACAAGGTGGATACTGGCATTACAAGAATACAATTTAGAAATAACTTATATACCGGGAAAACAGAATATAGTTGCAGACACTTTGACACGGTACCCGAGAACTACAGACGATAGGAAAGAAAAAAGAATAGTATTGTACAAAATCGATACATCAAAGTACAGCAAGGAGTTGACAAGGTCACTAGAACGGTTAGGGGAGTTACAAAAAATGGACAAACACATTATCAAACAGTGGAAAAAACAATCACCAAATACGAAAATAGAAAAAGGAGTATTATTCGTAAAAAACAAAGACGAGTGGCAGGCAGCCATACCAGATCAACTTGCAAAAATGCTAACAAGGGAAACACACATATTATTCGGTCATCCGGGCCGATATAAGACATTTCATTTATTGAGAGAAGTATGTATTTTCAGAAATATGCAGAAGACAGTGATAAATATGATAAGGACATGTGACTTGTGTCAAAGAAACAAACCGTTAAACTACAAAGCGGATGGGCCAATCACAGCGCATAAACCAGAAAAGATATTAGAAAAGGTTTCGATCGATTTAATGGGCCCATTGCCGAAGGGCAGAGGAGGAACACAGTATATATTGGCGATATTAGACATTTTTACGAAATACATAAAACTCTACGCGATAAAAAAAGCGACTACAAAAACAATCTTAAACAAAATAGAAAATGACTATTTTATTAAGGTAGGCAAACCAGAGGCTGTTCAAACTGACAATGGAACACAATTTACAGCCAAATTGTGGGGGGACACATTGAGGAAGCATGGCGTAAAAATAACCTATTCAACCAAGTACCATCCACAATCGAACCCGGTTGAACGGTATAATAGGGAAATTGGTAGGTTGTTGAGAACGTATTGCAACTATCAACATACAAAATGGCCCGTATACATTGAACAAATTGAATTTTGGATGAACAGAGTGAGGTCAGAGGTGACTGAACTAACACCTGAACAGCTAATGACTGGACAAAGAACGAAGCAAAATATTGAACAGATCATAAATTATCCAAAACAAACAGGCCAATTACAGAAACAAGAGTTAGTGAAATGGGCAAAAGAAAAAATTTCAAACAAAGCACGGAAAAGAGAAGGAAAAGACAAGAAAAGGAAAATAATAGAGTATAAGGAAGGACAACTGATCCTAGTTAGAAATCATCAATTATCAAACGCGGGCAATAGTGAAATAAAAAAATTATTTAGCATATTTGAAGGTCCATTTATTATAACTAAAATAATTAGTGAAAATACATTGGCAATTACGCAAGGACAATCAAAAAAAGAAACACTAATAAATGTTGCAGAAGTACGCCCATACTTTGAGGCGGACAACCAATCAAAGTAATTATTATACGACAGCAAATAACATGATCCAATCGGAGCCCCATAAACGATTAACGTATCAGAAAAGGGAGTGGATCAAACAAAAAGGTATATAAACAGCCGCGAAGTATTAACAAGAAATTATTCAGTCATTAACTACTATGGCACAAGGCATCAGTACGACGATGCACTTCCGGATTAGAATTAGTTACCAACTCGCTCAAACAGCCACCTGGTCACTAATCCGAGGGGGGTGTTGTAACAGTACACCGTCATACATATAAAACGGTCCACCAATCAGGGCCCAGAACGGTAGCACAGCCCGGCGGAATGACTTTGCGCCCTCAGTACGAGGGTCCGGGGTTGTTCCACACTCTGGAATACAAGGGATCCAAAGGTGAGAACAAGACCCATCGAACAAAACCATCCCCATACCTAGAGCCCCAAAACTGTGCGGACGACACCACTTCCCGCACAGAACCTAAACACAACGACAGCGGCGGCAACACGGGAGTTTACTAGTCGGTACGGGGCCGGGTATATATACCGGACTCTTTCACCGCACCGACATCAGTCTTCTCTCAACACACCAACCTTCAACATCTCAACACCAGAAGAAGTGAAGACCCGAAGACCTGACGATCCACGAAGCCGCCATAAGTCGCCGACAACCAGCGGGATATCGTGAACGACGAACGCCGGCCACAAGTCGACCCAAGCCCGAATCATTCAAAACCGCAGCCTATCGTCGACCGCCACACGCAACCGGCAGGAGAGCCGCGTCGAGGTAGACGGCATTTCAATACGCCCACGGCGCCGTACTCGGAGAACCAGCCGCACACACGCCTTCCCGACCGGCAAGTACCCGCCGCACGGAGTACCAGGAGCCAAGCAGTTGCCGCGCTGCGCCGGTATCCACCGTCGCCGTCGACTCCAACAGTCGGAGACTAAAACACCACCCATACGTCCCCTCCTACGGCCACTTGATCAAGTTGTGTCGAAACCCGGGTCTAGTATATCACAGTAGCCGCTTCTTACGAGTCACGCGCCGTGGTATACTGACCCCGTCCATACGGCGACTGTTATCGTCCGTTTCCCCCGCAAACATTCCCTTCATATTTGTAATTAGGGCCTAGCAATTGCTGGCCGTGCCGAGGTCTCACCGCGACGGTCCGTCTCCATAGACCAACCGTCACACCCGTGATCCTCGCTGCCCCCACATTGTACAAAATATATTTGTGTAAAAATACAGGATAAGATGTAATAACGAAAAACCCAAGCGTTATTATTTCGGACGCCGGTCCATTGTGACCGTGCCGTTTCAGGGTCTTGAAAATAATATAAAATGATTTTTTGAACAATCGTATTCTATAACACGATCCCATGGATGATAATCTATGTATTATCAAATTTTTTAAATACAAACTCAATTTTCGAATGTCTGCATTTTGTTAGTGTAATTAACCTGAATTATTGTCTTTATTCTATAAACGAAAATATAAGACGTGCTGGTATAGAATACAACTAATAACGATTTCGAATTATTGCCACTTTCCTATAAAACGGAAAAGATAAAGGCGTGCTGGAGTGTTACTCAATATATCTACACTATAAACGAGTATCTGTATATGTTAAGGAGTAAACGTTATTAAGATTATTATGTTTGCGGAATGTGGATGTTCGAAAATATTATGTATTAAATGTATTAATTATATGGTTATATTCTCAAGATTACCATCTCTTGAAATAAATAAATTATTGCACATAGGTATGTTACTATATAGGTACATAAAAAATTGTAGATATTAGTTTCTTTAAATTCCTTGTAAGATTGTTCCAAAAAATAGTTTTATTATCATTTTAATTAATTAATTATTGCACATATGTTACTATATACATGTTCAATTGCAGATATTAGATTTTTTTAAATAAATTGTAAGATTGTCATAAAAAGACACGAAGATATTCATTTGAAAGTAAATTAATATTATACAAATTAAATACGTAATGTAACCATTTTTTCGGGTAGCCTATAAAAGTCTATCGGATAGAACTAGTTTAAATTCATTATCTAAAAATAACAGTTAATTTTTCACTTTTAATAGTTTTAATACATTTGAACGAGGATGCTTTATATTTTTTTTTTTTTTTCCTGATTTCCAATTACCTAAATTGTACAAATCTTAATTTACTCTTATTTTTAATTAAGTGTTTTTGAGAATATTTATTTTAATTAATACATAAATTAATTGAGAATATATATAATAGTATTGAGCGGCACATGGACTTTCATTTCGTCTACAATAGAATATATAATAATACACAAACTTTACTAATTGTATAATAAGTTTATTTTTCAGCTAAAACAACTTAAACATTGTCTGACATTCAACGAACAGATCTGCGGAATGTACGAGATAACACCTGCAATAAAATTCTATAAAATTTAATTTTAATAATGTACCATTATTAGAATTATCGTATAGTAATGTTATATAAGACAATGAATAAAATATTATTTTTATATTAATTTGAACAGTGTAAAACGGATTTTAATAATGCAACATTATTAGAATTATAAAATTATAATATTTAAATTATAAGAGATATTTCAAGCTCAATAGCATCAAAAATTTCACCACAATGTCTTATGGAATCGTCTTCAATTTGTCTATCTAAGACAGCTAGATGAGCATTAATATTTTTTATTTTAGTCATATAATATTCTTTCTTGAAATCTGGTAAATCTGTGATTTTATTATAAACATAATCTTCCAAAGGCATGTAGGTTGAATTTGAATATTGTATGGGATTTTGAAAATAAAATAATTTTTTTGAAAAATCGTACGGTATAGTTTGATCCCAGGGATGGTAATCTTTGTATTCATTAAGAATGTCTTTATTTTTTAAATCCATATCTATTTCATATTCTATAATATTTTCCAATTACAAACTCAATTTCTTTATTCCTCAATATTATTATAATTAATGCAACGATTTTCATAGAATATTGGTTAGTCATTTAAAATAATATTCACAACTTCTCCGTTCTTAAAAATGATATTTTTATTTGGAATAATTTTTAATAAAACTTTTAACTTCAAATCATTTAAAAACTGTTGACTTTCTTCAATAAATATTACATAATTCTCCAACATAAGGGATGTAGTATGGAATCTTTTAACTTTCAACGATGAATGTGTACACTTGGGTTGGATGGAATTTGTTATATATTTCAAAAATTCATCAACACCTAATTTCCTAATAGAATCTTTATACATTTCCATTTCATTTTGACTTAGTTCACCATATATTAATTTCTCTATAAATTTATATAAATCTATGTCTCTTAATCTGTTGATTTTTTTCAAAACATTTTAAAAATTCTATATTTTTTATTTTAAAACATTCCATCTTCTCATTTTTTAATTCTATAAATTCAAACCCAATTTTAATAATGTGGCATTATTAGAATCATCAAATAATTATATTTAAGACAATCAAATAAAATATGGAATATCAATTTAAACATTATATTTTTCGTTATCTAATTCATTTATTAATTTTAAAAACATTTTTTCTGAATAATTTAATAATGTTATTTTATTTATTCGATATAATATTTTAGAATTTTCTTTTTTTAAATTTAAAATCGTTTTGCATTTTTCAGTATTAGATAATATTTTGTACTCGCCCGAACACTCAAAATTACCTACAACATAAGAATAATTACTTTTATTTATAAGTGATATTTTTTCCTTAAGTCTGTTCGCTAAATCTATAGGGTTAGGATTTTTTCTTGGTTCTATAATAATATCAAAATTGTTCTTGTAAAAATTAATTTTATTTCTTATATATTTATCCTGACCTCTCAAGAACATGTATTCGTTATCTATTAATTTATTTTTAAAAAGTATATATTGATGTTTTAATTCTTTATCAACTGGATCAACATTTCGATCAGGTAAAGCTTTACCGAGTTTATTATTTATGTCGTCCAATTTAATATTTGTTTCTTCATGACTTTTTTCCATAGACTCTAGTTTTTTTACAACAATTCGTATATCATTACGTAATGAATTATTTTCATTATTTACATTCTTCACAATTTGCTTTCTAATATTTGGTATTAATACATCTTGTACAAAGTCCTGAAATGGTTCTGCATTCGGCTTGTTTGATCGCATTACAAGTCTGTATAAACCTGCTTCTGAAATAAATATTTCTTTGTCTTTATTGTTATTAACAACATTAGAAGATAAGGGGTGGTCTACTTCGAATAGACCACCTCTTTCTTTTTTATATTTATTTGGAATATTTTTATGAATAATATTTTTAATTGTACTTGATTGATCACTATAACCTAAAATCTTTAGAATATCTTTAGCTTTAAACCAAGGCTTATCTACAGTTCCTGTTACTTCTATATCATTGTTATCAAAAGAAAATATATTATTAAATGTTTGAACGAATCCATCACACAAATCTTGGCTGGATGGAGTTTTTACTAGATTAGATTCCAAATTATTATTTATTGAAGGCATTACAGATTCATTTAAATATAAAAAAAAAATATTCAACAAACTCAATTTCTTTTTTTTTGTATCTAGCAAATTGGAATATAACACCTAATAATGTAATATATTTTCAGGAACATGTTAATGAATAATATTATTTATCACTAATATATTTTACAAGCAATGTTCAAGTTTTCCAGCAATCCTAACTTCTGAGATATTAACATCAAATCGCAAAATCTATGTTTCTACAACTCAAACACTTTCCAACACCTCAACATACAATCTATGGTATTAGATCAACAGCTCAACATTCACTACAACTCAACATTCAAGACATCTCACAACATCTATTTCATTGGCTCAGCAACTCAACATTCGAAACACCTCAACACATATAATTTAAATCTCTGTTTTTAAAAATTGTATAACTTTTAAAATCTAAATCAAAATTTTACACGAAAAATATTGTTTAGGGTAGTTGAAATGCAATAATAATTAATTTTAATGAGTTTTCTATTTCGTTTTGCATTTCGATTTTAATCATTAATATCATAAGTATTTTGAAAAGTATTTTGGGGAATATTGCAATTTTTTTTGATTTTTAATTATTTCATTTCATAAGTTTTTCGAAAAATATTTTAATTATTAATATCATAAGTTTTGTGAAAAATATTTTTGGGATATATTGCATTTCGATTTTAATTATTAATATCATAAGTATTATGAAAAATATTTTGGGGGTGAAAATGTATTTAATAAGTTTTGCGAAAAATGTTTTTATTATTATTGCATTTCGATTTTTATTTTTAATAATTAAGTTTTGCGGAAAATGTTTTTATTATTATTGCATTTCATAAGTTTTGTGAAAAATTTTATTAATTATTATTGCATTTCGATTTTCTGATCTTTTTGCACATTGTTTTCTTTGTGATCTTTTACTGATATATTATGAGGTGCGCCAGGACTGGTACATATATACTACTCACGTACTTGACGGGCCTGTTCGACTTCAACGGAACTGAGGAGTTCGGCAACGAGACCGACGGTGGTGGTTATCTGAACGTGACCACCGAGATGCCTGTCCGGTACGCCCGGCCCATGTACGGGTTCGTCATGCCGTTCCTGTTGCTGGTGACCATCGTGGCCAATACTCTGATCGTGGTAGTGCTGTCCAAGCGGCACATGCGAACGCCCACCAACGTGGTGCTCATGTCCATGGCCCTGTCCGACATGTTCACGCTGCTGTTCCCGGCCCCGTGGCTGTTCTACATGTACACGCTTGGCAACCACTACAAGCCGCTGTCGCCTGTCGAGTCGTGCTACGCGTGGTACGCTATGAACGAGGTCATACCAACGCTGTTTCACACCGCCTCCATCTGGCTCACGCTCGCCCTGGCCGGTCCAGAGGTAAGTGCGAAACCATTTATTGTAATTTAACATACCCGCGCATTGTTGTTGTTATCGTCATTATCATTGTCGTTGTTCAACTTGTCCCCCCCCCCCCCTGTTCGCCGTGACACATGACTTCTGCAGCCACGCTTCAGTTCCTCCGGGTGCACAAGGGAAAATATTGCTTAGGACCAAGTTACAAGTGCGTTGTATCACAGAATAATAAGCGACACTCGATCAGCTGATTGGCCCACTGTAGGGTATGAAGTATTGGACTCTAATGGTCTAAAAGTAGAAACCGTAATTTGATAGAATGTTGGCAACGTGTATCTTTGTTACGAAATTATAAAAACAAATCATTTGACCATACGGCCGTATTAATTTATTCAAAGTTTTTCACGTATGGTATTGTCAGTTTCAGTATTTTATAAATTGTACTATGAATTAAATATTATAATATTTTTATTTAACATTTTTCAAATAATTTATAATATTTATATGAAATATTTAATTGATAACGTATACCAAGCACCTCGGATACCGTGTTCAAGGCCTCAGTCACCAGATAATTACTCAGTGTCTGAGGTCCAAATTGTATACGTGGGAATAGTATTACAAGAGAATATGATTATCAACAAAACAATTAATTAGGAGGTACCTTTAACACAGAGTCATAAAAACCGGGAAAAATATTACATTGGAATTTAAAAATAGGTAAGATCTTATACACAGCAAATTATAAACCAGGAAAGTATAACACACAAAAGTTATATGTTATCGAACTTTCTCCTATCGAACTTTTAAATAAAATGTTTAGCCATGTATAAAAAATGTAACGTTTTAGTTCTAAATTATTTAAACTTGAATTGATTCTATTCAGGGGCACTTTTTGTGATATTATTTGCAATATACAATTTCTAATGTTCGGTATAGTAACTTTACGTAGGTGCATTCGTTTTTATACAGTATGAAGAAGTTAAAAATGTTTAAATGTATAGTACATAATTTGTAAAAATATTGCTTTTAAATTTTGAGCAAATAATGTTTTCTATCAAAGAGATTATTTTTAAATGGTTCTGTAAACAATTTCTTATATGAAAAAAAAGTTCGATATCAGTAGTGAAAGAGTACTGATTTTCTATACCAAATAGACCATGGTGATTGGTGGGGCTTCAAACTTTAAATTAAAGAGGCCAGTTTTTATATTGAAGTTAATTTATAAAACAACGAAACCACAGAAATAACTGTCTATTCGATTATTTCATCATAAAAAAAAAAACGTTATGGCGCGGTTCTCCGATAATCTCATTGTATAATATGATATCTTATAAATATCTAATTAAAGACTTCTATCCATTTTTTTTAATCTAAGAAATATCATAATTATAAAAGTGATACAACTGTTTATAGGTAATGTTAAAAAAAACAAATACCTATTAATTACCTGATCAAGATTTCTGGTGATCGGTTTCTTAACTCTTATACTCCTTTTGATTTTTTCAGCCTTCCTTAATAATTAAAAATTGTATAAAATCATTAAATTGTTCGTTATCAGTTATCAGCTTATCACCGTAAAATACTGATTATAAGTTCTCCTAACTTCACGAACTTCATTACTCATTAGTTTCCTTCCTAGATTTTCCTTATTTAGAAACATTCATCGACCGATCGTCCGTCCTATCAGCTCTTTTAAATAGGTAGATGAAAAACTTTTGGTCGTAAATATTTAAACGAAACACCCGCGCCGTGTTAAGATCGAACGAGAACAAAACTATAGTGAACTTGCCTAAAAATCAATCAATTTTTTTTTTAAATGTTTAGGTATTCATTCTCGGTGGACGGTAACCAGATTCTTGTGTTATTATCATAATATAATATAGTTTATAACATGAGTCTATATTATTCGCCTTTTCAATAATGTAGTATTTGTATAATATTCTTGTACACGGAGACTGCATAGCGGACCTTAAAGTGATTCTCCATTATTAAAATAAGGGATACCGAGGAAAACGACTGGACCCGTTCTGTACATTAAACTATAATCTCGTACATAGTATATTTGTATATTATTATCGTGCATCTTCCCCGCCAGTCGGCAGTGGGCACTAGAGACCGCGTATAAGATATAATAATATTATAGTACTCGATAGAATATTATCGTCCGGTCCGGGTTGTGGGTCCAACGAGTAAGTCTGGAGGATTATTATTATAGTTGCAAATTAACATATGATGTTTAGAAATAATATTATAGACTATAGTAGTCGATCGACGAGCAAAAACCTACTGCTGGGAACGGATGAAAAAATCCGTTCCAGAAGTATGTAAATGTTTTAGAAACGATTTTACCGTGATAAAAGGAAAAGGCGTAGCAAAGGTAACGTTTTACGACACCGTAGAATACATTTTTCGAAGTTTGCATTTTATTACTATTGATAATGTTCATAAAGAATATATATATAATACCTATACAGTATAATATACCCCCAACGTGCCCTTGTCAACTTGTTTTTTTTATGAAAAAAAAAAGTTTTATTGTGCAGTGTATTGACGCCAAAAGTAGACCCACATAAAATTAAAACGTTATTGATTTTCTTTATTTTTTCACCAATGATTTTTAGAATTTGCACATTTCCTTAAATATTGTAACTCATTTACATTTTGTGCAATGCACATTTTTTCTTATACAAACAGGTGCCTTTAGCGTAAGCAGTGAAATATAGTTCTGACTGCTACGACCCTCACTCCCATAATTTTCACAAATGATTAATTCTTCAATTTCAATGTATATACCTAGGTACTTGAAATTTCTAATACAAGTAGGCATTGCTGTTAAAAGCTATTTTATTAATGTATTTTTTTAAACTAAAGTAAATCCAATATATTTGTTGTCGTCCCACTCGTGCCTTAACTATTCTACGGGATAAGAATTCTACTGCAATTATTGCACTCACTTATGCACAAAATAGGAATATATTTTATGAAACTTAATTTACATAAGTAATAATATATTTCAATTGTTTTTATATGCATTTTTGTATTTTTTTATTTGATACCCCACATTTAGATTTGAGTTGGTGATGTGTTTCATATCATAATTGATTCGAAATCTTACATATATTTTGTCTCTGTCCAGGAATGGATCGTTGGAGTTCCAAATAGCAATTTATTCTTTTATTTTCTAACAGTATTTTCTTGTCGTAAAAAATATTCGGTTTACCAGTAAAATTATTGAGTTACAAATCAAATCACCTTCGATTTATGACCTATTATACGGCCCCTTTAATACGGTTAGAGAAATTGTATTATTCCACACTTTTGTAGGTTACGATACTAAAGTGTATGATACTTTGATGTAAACCTACATAAATTAGAAATAAGTACTTGAATGTTTGAACCGTAGAAAATTATAAAATATTTGAAAAACTTAACGAAAATAACTTTTCCGAAATAAGTAGAAGATTGGTACTATATAGTATATTATAACTGTAGACCCCCACTGTAAATTTATTAATAGATTTTATAGTTATGGTTTTAATAATAAAAACAAATAATATATCAAAATGACATAAATCTGCCTGTACCACTCAAAATAATAATGAAATTAAATATCGGTAAGATAACACTATCGTACCTGCTATGTAGTGTATATATTATCAATGGACTATTATAATTTTAAGTAACGCTCACTATAACACTGAGAAGATACATACATTTCGTGAAAATTCCAAACTCACGAATAAAACCGAATTTGAATTTAGTCATAATATGTAAGTCTTAAAAGTATTAGTATCCTGGAAAAAAAATAATAATCGATTCACACGGGTATAATGCTTTTTAAATTTAAAACACCCACGTAATATATCCTCGGGACTTTGTTACATTAGTTGAACGTGAAAAGTGTTTGCCCTAGATAAAAGATATTTTTATTTAAAGTTGTGCCTAATAGAAGTTAGTTTTTAAATATGGAAAAAACAATTTGTATCTCGCTAATTATGTTATCCCGTTGAATTTTAAATTATTATTTGCTTTTACAATACAATTTAAAACTAGATTAGAGAAAATATTTTAAGATCAATTTAAATTAGCACATTTATTTTATTTTTATTTTAATTAATATATTTAAAAGTGGAAAATACACGGTGATTGCATTTAGTAGCCAAATGCTTACTCTCCCAGTTATCTATATTTTAGCATCATCTTTAAAATAACGTTTTTTTTACTTATATACCTACCCTTAACGTTAAAACTAATATAAAATATGCAAGTACCTATGAATGTATTTATTTTGTTAGTAATATTTAAACTGCATAATTTGCATAATTCGTGAAAATAATAAAACTGTCTTACATTTTACCTTAACGATGATGTCAAGAAATTCAATTTAAAAATGGTTACTATATAATAGTAAAAAATAAATTATAGTAGAAAATAAATTTTACTTGGAATTCGTTCGTACATGAATATTACTTTTCATTTTAAATAAAAATATTATGTTCAAAGTTATCATGGTTAAAAATTATTTACTTACATTTTAGATTCTGAGTGAAACGATGAATGTATTGATTTTACAATGATGTGTGTTTTTTTTTTTTTATTTTTTTATTTTTTTATTTTTTTATTTTTGTGTCTGTGTACACGATAAGTAGTCGAAATAATGCTTCGATTTTCGACTTCAGTATCTTGTTCGATTGGAAAGTGAATATCGTTGGTGCATTGGGGAGGTCAAAATTTAAAATTCCCAATAGTTTTCACAAGCGCCGGGAAAAACAACATAAAAATTAAGGAAAAACGGGAATTTTTACGCAAAATCAGTTTTTGACAAAATCGAATTTGGTTTTTGGTGTAACTTTAAAACAAATGACCGTAGATACATGAAATTTTCACTGGTTGTTTATATTTGCATTTTCTATACACGATAAAATTTTCAAAATATTTTGATTTATTTTGAACTGTTTAGGGACATTTTCATTTTCCATTTTTTTTTAGTTTTTTTTCTAAAAATATCAATAAAATTTTATTTGTTGGTTGCGAAAGCTTGAAAATTTAAT